CCCTTGCTACTTTTGTCTTTTCCTGCAGCTTATGGATTTGCATAGCTTCCAGCCTTATCACGTTACATCTTTTCCAATCGTCGACTATCTCGGACCTCGTGGTAAGCTGCAGCCCTGCCCCTCGTATCCGAGCAAAGAACAGCATCTCAAACAACCAACCCCGAAGTGTCGGATTCCCAGTTGCGTCAACGAGTTCTTCAATCTTCCTCACAAACGTTTCTCCAAGCCTCTGTGCTAGCTCCATGGAAACAAACCTGCTGACAAGCGTCCAGTGCACCTCGTCTTCGACACGATACTTCCCATGCAGGCGATTCACAGCATTGTTTGCACGCTCTCCCATCCCCATGTCAAACAGGGACGCAAAATCAGGAACAGCCTCTATCCCGTCACGGAGTTCTTGGATCGCTTCATCTGTCCTACGTTCAAACATATATCGGCATGAGCCTCCTACAATCTGATACTTTGACTCGATTTCTCTCGACCTTCTCTCTTGTTCTGTCTCATCCATGCTTCCCTCGCCTTCATCCATGCTTCCCTCTTCTTCATCCAAGCTCCATTTCATCACATCAGCCACACTCTTATAGAACGCGTCGTACCTACAGGCTTCCAGATACTCTTCCATTGTCCACGAATACACCATCATTTCTTCGACCTTCTCATTCGCATCTTGCTCGGAACTCTTCTTTGCTCGAGAGCTCATCGACGTTGTGATAACAAGCCGCCGATTCTCCAGTTCACGATGAACCCAATACAGGCAAGCACTCAGCACAAATCCATGTGCTTGCTCCCCCTGTCGGTAACCATCTATAGACACCAAAGTCTTCTTCCCGCTCGGTGCCCGTTCTCTGAGAAATTTCGGTATCCAAGCCCCCGCATTGTCGGCAGGCATCTCACATTTTCTCAATACGCCATCATCAACCTGTAAGAATTCGACAATTCCCCACTTCCACAGCCGAAAGCATATCACCCTCCATCCCTCCTCCATGCCTCGCGATTGCATGAAGGACATCGTCGTCGTCGTCTTCCCCGTCCCCGGAGGCCCTAGAATCCAACCCAGACACCCCGCCTTGCACACCCGGTCGTCAAGGAAACGCCACTGCTCATTGAAGGAATCTCGGCAGTACAGCACACGCACCCCTGCTTGTGACGAGCTGATTGGATCAAACAGCGATCGATCGAGAAAGAAGAGTTTGTTCGCCTCCCTGTGCCCCACCAGATCACGACTCAAGGTTTTTTCTGTCCAAATTGCGCTTTCTGCTCTTCTCCCGGACTCGGCCCTGTGTTTGTCAGCACGAGCTCCTTCCTCTCAAGCTGACTGGTCAGGCGTTGCTTTTCTGC